TTCTAGTGATTGTTAGCAGCAACACACTTACATTTACCAGGTTTTATTTATCATAGATGGTTCATTATGGTAAAGAAAAGCTCCAAAATGTAAGATTCAACTCGAACTAAGTCGAACTTTTTTTGTTTTTAATACATGCCCAACTTCTCTCCACCTGCACTGCTGTTGATGCTCTGTGAGAAAACAGCGGCCGTCAGCCTGCCTAATGTCTAATTGATGAGCTGCTGCAAAAATTCACACACAACCTAAACACACACACACACACACACACACTCATACCGCCATGCTTCTTCGTGCAAAGTGCATCCAAAATGAGTGTTTCTAAGCCAGTGAATCAAAGGACACAGACATGAGAGAAGCTGCACTTTTCACCCTTTTTTAAAATGTCTTTTCTTCAAGCTTTTATCAGCACCTTGGAGTCACTTTAAATCTTCACTGCTGAGGTGTATTTGTACTAGAAAACTTTGATAAATTGTCACAAAACTCTCCTCACCGTTCTCCTGTACGGCAAAAGATTTAGTGCGCTTCACACCTATTTGGTATCGACTGACCAAGCTGAGCCTTGGCAGATTTCCTGTTATTTTTAGGAAGGTTTTCTTGAGAAGTGAGCCTGAGAATGAAATCAATAAGAGCCAGAGAGACGGGGGTGGAGGCTAAGAAAGCGCGAGAGAGAATAACATAAACCAGATGTCCAAAATCCAATTGTAGAGTTGTCAAATTTCACATTACCTCATTGACTTGGACACACACGGGGGAAAACAGCCGCGTGTGTGTAATATGACTTGTTGTTCTGATATGATTCTATATTTAACAGTTATGAGATGGCTGATACTGTGCTAGTAACTAATAGTGACGTCAGTGCTGTGAGAGGCTGCATGATCTCATCTGTTTTCTGTACAGTACACTTTTAGTCACTTTTACGTCATTGTTTATCTGGGTGGTGTTCTTATGTAACACATGTTAACCTCTCCCATGCCTGTATTAGATTGCCTGAGTGCTTTGTGGACTTTGTTAGAATACTATGTGTAGAAGACTTGACATTTGACCTCAATAACAACACCTTTTGTGTTTCCCAGCATTTATTTTATCGCTATGTTTGCACAACAGTGGTGTGGCTTATGACTGATTATCACTTCATCATTCCAGTCAAACCTCTTTGTATATCCTGTTGGCCTGAGAAATATGCAAAAATATGCCGCTTGAATGAGTTTGTATGTTTCATTAGGAATTTGATTACCTTGGTTGCCATAACCGGTTATGTAACTTCAGGTTTCGCGACAAATGAGTCTCCAGTACACGGTTAATGTTAAAATGTTAAAACAGAGTTACATTCAATGACATTATGATGGTTTCAATGTATTTTCAATACATCTTAGTGTTGGAGGAAGGTTAGTTATAACGTTATTATGATGTGTTCAAATGTTAACAGGTAAAACTTAAGGGGATTTTTTATAAAACATTTATATTAGAGAGGGAATTATGACCTTCATAACACTAGCTTTAAGCAGTTTATCATTGAAACACATGTTTAATTAAAGGTGGGGTAGTTTGAGAAACCGGCTCGAGATACACTTGTTGTTATATTCCATGGAATGCTCTTAACATCCCGATAGCAATGAATATCTGAAGTGCTTTGACAAAAAATCCATTAAAAAATATCATCTATAGAAGCCGTAGTACTGTAAAAAGCACGACCAATCATCTGAGCCGGCCCGGCTAGAGTAACTGGATGGCCTACCTGCCTGTCAGCCTTCCATCTGTGCACAAACTTATCTCGTGCCCTCATTGGTCATGTGCGCGTTCGTGTGTGTTGGAGGAGGGGCTCTGTAAGGAAGTGGCAGATTTTTTCCGGCTGTGTATTTTCAAATTCTAGCGCACTCGAGCTGGTTTCTCCAAAATGACCTACCCCACCTTAAAAGTAAGGTAAATAGTAATACAATCATTTATTTCGTATTGGATTTAGTTGTCTGGAATCATTGAATTTCACTACAGCATTTTTGGTATCATGAGGTCCCTTTTCTTTCTACATGAATCTAAATCCAAAGCGAAACCCTGATAAACACTCTAACAATTATTGTAATATCAAATCTCATATTGTGACATGTTACCTGTGAACTTCTCTGATCAGTATGGGCTCTACTAATGATTCATGAAGCTCTGTGTGTGTTTCTCAGCCACGTCTTCTTTAGTTTGACTGATTAGACGCATTGTCTCTAAAGTGGAAATCCTGGTATAAGGTGCGGCTGAATTCATCGGCACCTCTGTTGTGTTCGAGTTATTTTTAGGGCGCTCTTTGGCAGCAATATCTTCTTGATGAAAGCGAGGAGGAGATTTGCCCGTCGGTGTTTGGCACTCTGTGGCTGAGAGACAGAATGAGTGACAGGCGCTTTTTCGTTGGTTGTTTGGAGGACTGACTGGATGACTGGGCATCTGAAGGAATGAAATAAAAAGTCTGTGCTTTGCGGCTCACGAATGCTGCATAAGACGGACACTTTAACACACAACTCACAGGTTTTTCAAGGCAGCTTTCAGTACATGAAATCAAGGCAAAGGATAAGGAAACCACAATTTGAATTTTAGAAACAAAACTAGTGTTTATTTGCGTAGATTTTACTGTGAAAGCATCGGACAAAGGCAGATCCCAATCTAAAATAGCATCTAAGCCAGACCGGATTATTCACATGATTTAGGAAGTCGTAATATCAAAACTATTAAGCTTATAAACTTGAATTACTGATGTATTATTAAATCAACCCACTGAAACTGATGTAACGTGACCCGTTGCTGAATCACTGCTGAAGAACAAAGCTTTAATCCTCCTGCTTGCCTCCTGCAGCTGTGAAACAATAAGAAGCTTTTATTGTGTTCATCTTGTGACTCCATCAGACCTCCCACATATTTCCTCTCTGAACCACAGAGGATTAAAATCATGTCCAGGAGTTGTTTCTGTGGGTCTGTTTGTAACAGAACAATAACACTTTTTAAACGTGTGTTACTAGAGGACAGTTGATTATATCAGATATCAGTCTCTGCTCTCCATTGACAGGAAGACAAGTCCCAGCCTTCTTTAAAAGTCAACACATCTATGGTGAGGCGTCCACAGGCAGGCACATGCTCTGCTTACTAGATTACAACAGCTTTGTTTTGTAGTGAATGCAAGTTTCATGCACTGATTGATAAAAGACATAAGGGGACTGAAGGTACAATTTATTGGAGCTAAACGAGCACAAATAGACACTCTTCGAAGTGACTTTAAGAATTGCAAGTATTTGAATAACACACACATTAAAAAGGCCCTCATATTTGGCTAGCTGCCATTGACACGTAAATCAAATAAGATAAGAAACCTCAATTTTCACGCCCTTAACTGACAACTTCCTGGTGAGATTTTACCTTCTCGTACTCGGTTGCATGTCATCAAATCTCTTTTAACTCTCATCTATCTTGACACGCACATCTGAGGAAGCGATAAAATCATTTCCACACGAATCTAGCGAATAGAGAGGCAGAATATCTGTTTACCGCGGCAGCTTGTCGTTGTAAATGAACTAAAAATCACCGTTTTTGCTCCACCCACTCAGACAGAAGCTTGACCCTCTGATTAGCTTCATACACAAACCTCCGTAAACACCCCTCAGAAAAAACCCCACCCACTAACTCATTACATCAGTTTGCTTCTGAGCTTTTATCTATTCACCGCACACCCTATCCTAATGCATTATTTATACCCTGGCTGTAAAGGTCAGTGGCGATGACGTTAACGTCTCTGAATGGGGATATCAAAAAGGTGATTATATGTAAGGGAAGCCTGCGTGCGAGCCGTGAATGTTAATCCCGTGCTGATATTGGCTTCCTGGGATACTGAAAGCTTCGCAGGCATCCTCAGAGTAACTCCCCCTGCAGTGGCATTAATTTTGTTTATTGCAAAAGGCAAACAGTTTGGAATAAAATCTCCTCCTTGACCCGTGTTTGCATCATCGCGGGCCTCTCGGCTCTTTGTGGTTTTCAGCCGTTATGAGTTGCCGAGCCAAAGGTGATGCAGTTTGCTGAGAGTCATGGCCGACCACAGAGTAATGGACAGTCTGCAGCCGTCACTCAGGTTCAACCACAGACTGCAGAACAACTCCTAAGAGTCTGATGTAATGTCAACACTAGAACATGCTTACCATAATCTTCTGTGTCAGCATGCAACATTTGCTAATACCCGTTGAACATAAAGTGTCGCTGAGGCTGAAAATGATTTGTTTTGTAGCATAAAAAGTGAGTTTAACTACTTTTGTTGGATAATTTATATTGTCTCATGAATACTTGCCATAAAGGTTGTTATTCTTGTCAATTTCAGACCATTGCATGCCACTTACAAGTGCACAATATTGTCGTTTGTTGTGTTTGTGTAACCAATGCAGTAGCCGTTAGAGGAACTTCCACATACACATGTTGGAAGTCACTTAGTCACGTATTGGGCTTCTTTCTCCTCTCCTGTGGCATGTCTGTCTCTGTGTCAATTAAAAGAGGAAACGCGTGAGGAAGTTCCTACTGTTCAATCACAGCTGCGCCAATTAAAATTATGAGTCATCGTGCACTGCTGACGCTATCACCTTTTAACAAAAACAGCTTTTAAAATGCCATCTGAACGGAGTGTCTACTGGGCTGAATGAGGACATGGACACCATTGATCGACCAAATGACCTCACATCATGGCCAGGGGGACGGCAGATTCTGCTGCTTATGTACAAGTTACTCTGGCAGGCTGCCACTCTGTATATTTGGAGGTTATTTTATAGCTGATGATACTGGAAAGAGAAGTTGAAAAAGTTCATTTTCATCTCCTTTTTGCTTCATTACTCCGTGCAATATTTCAAAAGACAAGCGGTTTCTGTTCCTCCGTTGGGAAAAGGCATTGCATTCTGCAGAGAGAGCATCATAATCCCGTTGACAGTGATTGCATTTTGCAGCTGACTGATTCAACCTTATTGATTTCCTCCTCTTTCTCCCTCCAGACCTCCTCAATGGAGCCCAGGAGAAGTGCGAGCTGCCGCCTATGGAGGGTTTCCCACACTGCGAGGGCAAGGTCACGGTGAGTCAAACAGCCTCTCCACCTCTCTCTGTGTCTGTTTTCATACCCGCAATTGTTTTTATTTAATATAAATAAAGGAAGCGGGGGAAAAAGGAGTATCCTCTACTTAACATTTCTACTATATAAACAGAAAAGATGGCCCACACTTTGTTGACACACCTCAAGTAAAACTATAGTTTATTCGACGAATATTAAACGTCAGGGAAATCAGTTCCTAGCAAAGCCCACACACAGACACAGGTGTATACATACACACACACACACACACACACACACACACACACACACACACACACACACACACACACTCACACGTATGCATGATCTCAATCCAATGTTTATTCTATGTGTGTGTTTGTCTCCCTGGAGCTGATGGGGCCCTATCAAACACACCATCTGCTCAGCCAGTACCAATCCTCCACTTACACTGCCAGCATTTCCAACTGGGCGCCATGTGATGCCAAAGCCTGCACCACACACACACACACACACACACACACACACATACACACACTCACACACACCTTATAGCAAGCTTGCATTTCAGAAAGGCATCACTAAACAGTTTGCCGTTTTACGAGCAGCGTCTGGTTAGCAACATCTTACAAATCCATCCTCTCATGTTGAAGAGGTTGCTGTTTAATCAAATGTAGTACAACCTTCACGCCATCCAAGCGACTTAAACCCATCTGCCAGGTGTGTGTATGTGTGTGTGTGTGTGTGTGAACAGCTTTGGGTTTACACCTCCCTGTGGGTACTGTAAGTCAGCATGCATGATGAACTTCAGCATATGAAGGAAGCAGGATAGCTGTAGGATCTGTCTGTTAGGGATCAAATCAGAAGAGGGGAGGAAATGTGTCCAAATACTTCCTGCTCTGCTCTTTTGTTTTTTTTGGGTGGATTTATTAAATATGCATGTTCTTTCGTCTTCATCAAGAAATCTTCACATTGATTATTTCCACACATTCACACATGAAAGCTCTCCCAGATCAACATCCCTCTTTCTCTGTTGGCCGTGAAGCAGCTCCACTGGATGATTTGCACATGTATTGGTTTAAAGATTTTCCGTTTGATTACAGAAAGTGAAGTAAAAAAAATTCCCTAACCCCGAGGCACAAAAACACCCCGACTATTTCCACAAAGAAAGACAAAACTGATGGATTTTTTTTGCAACTGTGCGTTATGTATTCACTCAGCATCACGTCCTGCCCACACACCACAGTCGCCGGTGAATTACAGCATCAACCTGACTTCTTTTTGCATCCATTATTAGGCCGACAGACGCTCCTAATGACGGTGGTTTGGCTGTCATTGTGAGTGGCAGAGTGGAGTTACTTAACAGCCGCTGATAAAATACATTTGACTGCTGGTAACTCTCAGTGGGCCCGTAGATTTTACTGATATTAAAGTGAGTGATTTGGGAGGAAAATGCTTTCAGATAACATCTTCTCTTTTGCTCTTTTCAGTGGATGAAGGACATGTGGCGCTCTGACTCCTGCTATGGAAACTATGGCGTTGATGGATCCACCTGCTCTTACTTCATCTACCTGAGCGAGGTGAGCCCTGTGTGTGTGTGTGTTGGTAGTGAATATATTTGAGGTCAAAGACCGACTCGCAAGTGTATTTGTGCCCAAAAAAGTGTTCAAGAAGGCTGCATTTTACCACAGGGACCTCTCAATATGCACTCCTTACAAAAAAATCATGACTGTAACAATTATCCTTTTTTAATTTGATCGTCAAATTTGATCTTCAAAATATGGACTTTCAATTAGTGTTAATTTCGTTGACTAAAACTATGACGAAATATGTTGGTCAACGACCTTTTTTTCCATGACGAAAACGAGACGATGACGAGACGGCACCGACGGCAGTAAACAATAACTGTAACGAAATCATCATGCAATATCGTTGACGAAAAGTGACGAGACGAAAATGTAGTTTACTAAATAAAAACTATGCCAAAATCTCTCTTTACTTTCATTGACGAGAAATGAGGAGACGAAATATTATCAAAGATAACGTTACATCTCTGAAAGTCAGTTTTTCTCCAAGCAGTTCAATTTCCGGTGCAGCAGCTGTGTGTCTGTGCCGCGCGCGGCGGTACATTTGAATTACACCGGACAGCGGCACAATATGAACTGTCAGGAAGACTCGGGTCTAACTCATGGTCTAACTAACCTTATTTAACAGAAAATAAAATGGCAACAACAGGGCTTGGAAGCAGTGGTCGCACTCGCGTTAACCGAATACCGCCCCGTCAGCGCGAGTGAGTGATACATTGTGCACTCGACGGGTAATAATGGATTATGACGGAAATGTTACGATCCTATCTGTCAAAATGACTGACAACGAAAAAGTCTAACGCCACCTCAACAGTTTTCATTGACAACAAGTAGACTAAAATAATTAGTTTTCTTCGACTAAAATAAGACAAAAATGCTCAGACTTTTAGTCGACTAACTCTTGACTAAATAAAAACAGGATGAAGGTGACTAAATATGACTAAAACGAAAAAGGAAATTTAACACAGGACTAAGACTAAAACTAAATAAAAAAATTGCTGACGAAATTAACACTACTTTCAATGTGTCTTGTTGACGGAAGATTTACAGTTATTGCGAAGGAGGAATACTCTAGTCAGCCAATCGAATGTAATGCGAAATCTTTTAAGTATTTTCATAAAATCTGCAAAAGGAAATGCAAAACACAGACAAGTGAAAGAGAAATAAAAAACCACGAAGAAGTGGAAAACTTAAAGGATACTGGGCTATATTTCATATTCTTGTTTTTGTGAATAAATCCCATGTGAACCAAAATCGTTGTCCTTGTTTGTGGATCCTTACAAACAGGTCACAGCAATCGACTGTAAATGGTCAAAGCTATATTTTTTCCTGAATCCGCTGGCCTCATGCAAACGTTACTCAAATAACAGGAGATCGGGTTTTGGGAACATACTACTTTATACAAATGACAGTGTGTGTTTTTTCAAGAAGGCCAATGTCAGGCAGTGCAAATGTGAAGTGTTTTTAATATGTTTGCATGGAGTCGTGTAACACAGACGAATCCTTCAGTATTCTTTCCTAGACTGCACCACTACTACTACTGCAGCTACATCGGGAACATTTGCATTTTAACACTTCAATAATTCAGCTCCTGCTTCTGCAAGTCATAGTGACTGAATTACAGTGCAAGCGCCGAGTAAGCTGCAACATGTGAGGAGAAAAATGGGAGAAGTTACGACATTCCTGACGGCACAGGAAAAAAATTAAGCGCTAAAAATAAGAGCAAACGAGGGAGAGGTAAAGGGGGGTTTCATGTTTTAATGAGAGCAAATTAGAGTGTGTTGAAGAGGAAGGTGTGTGAGAAAGAGAAGATGATTCAGTGGGAAGGAGGGGAGTTTTAAAAGGGATGAGTTTGTAGCCTCTAAGGGAAGACGTGGAAGGACTTAGTCTCTGCGAATCCTTGGCAAACCGGACAAAAACAGCCTGGCGTGGAGCAGATGTAGATTATTTACGAACATATAGAAGCTTGTGTTCCTTCAAGGGACACTTTGAGACTTTCAATTTTGCATAACCAGCCAGATTTCCTATCCATTAGTTGTTCATTTAAATTAAAGTCAGTCATTCATGCCTGAAACTAAACTTCTGATAATACTGAGATTCACTCTGATGCTGGTTTCTGTTTTACACTCATCTCCTCAGATCTAGATAACAGCTCTCCATAGATCATAGCGATTCATTCATCACCATTTCTGTTTGATTTCACTTCTTCTGCACTGGAAGAAATGTCCATGTTAAGAAGCTGTTTCAAGTGAGAATCAAGGTTGTTCCTCGGCTAATAGCAGGACATTTTATTGGATGAAAAGTAAGGTTTCCGTGGTGGGTTTTAGCTCTGAAAAGGTCAGCAGCGCGTTATGAATATTGCATATGAGCTGAGGGCTTTACAGTGGATATAGATGGACAACAGCAGAGTCCATTAGGAGGAGAGGAACCCTTTCTTCAGGAAACACTTTTGCTATAGAGAGAGCAGAGATTCTTAAAAAAAAACAGATGCTCTAACAGCCCTCAGCCTCCACTCCTGGGCATGCGATCACACGGTTGCGATGACAACTTGCATGCATTTCCATTTTGAAATCTGCTGCGATCGGTCTCTCCATCCACAAAGAAGCTCAAACACACACTGCCTTCGCCATGTTTAATTCATACTCGTCCACCACTGTTAACCTTGGCCAATCAGAGGGGCCGATGATGGATGTCAGCTGCAGGAAGGTCGGGGATGAAGTGTGTGTGTGTGTGTGTGTGTGTGTGTGTGTGTGTGTGTGTGTGTGTGTGTGTGTGTGTGTGTGTGTGTGTGTGTGTGTGTGTGTGTGTGTGTGTGTGTGTGTGTGTGTGTGTGTGTGTGTGTGTGTGTGTGTGTGTGTGTGTGTGTGTGTGTGTGTGTGTGTGTGTGTGTGTGTGTGTGTTGTGTGTGTGTGTGTGTGTGTGTGTGTGTGTGTGTGTGTGTGTGTGTGTGTGTGTGTGTGTGTGTGTGTGTGTGTGTGTGTGTGTGTGTGTGTGTGTGTGTGTGTGTGTGTGTGTGTGTGTGTGTGTGTGTGTGTGTGTGTGTGTGGTTTCAGAATGGGTGAGTAAACACACCCACCTTGCCTGGAAGTGTTTACAGAGCAATTGTTTGTGTCGTTACTGAGAAATGACAAAAACACTTCTCCATATTCCTCTCTGTGGTCAATCACTGAGGCAAGAGGAAGGAAACGCTGAGACGAGGACGTTCAGAGAGAGAGAAATAATTTACATCCGAGGCATTTTAACCCTCGTTTGCTTTAAGACGACCATGGGGGGTATTTACTGAGCATTTGAAACCCCTTTTTAGCCGCTAAAAGGTCACGGGGAATCCCACCTGGTGTCAGATCTGTAACACACTGTTTAATCACACACACACGCACACACACACACATTAGGCATCAGACAATACAAATTCACACGGTACACATAAATAATACTGCAAGATTTATTGATCAGTTGGAAATAAACATGAAGGCCTCTTAAAATGTGCGTTCATGGCTTTATTTATAAGTTGACGGCCAGTCGAAGCCCCTCCTAATTTGTTGCCTGATGATAATGGGGAGGAGGAGATGGTTGTTGCTTTCACACTGAAAGCAACAACAGCTTAAAAAGCCTCATAAACACTTCATATTTAATTTAATGATCCACTCATGTCAGTGTGAATTTGTGTCGCCTTTCATCATGTCAATGTTTGTCTCAAGTGAACTTAAAATTGTGTTTTAATTTGATAGGTGGAGAACTGGTGTCCTCGCCTTCCCTGGAGGACAAAGACCCTGAATGACGAAATAGACAGGAGGGGACAGGTGAGACGTTTTTTACAAATAACAAAACTGAAACGCCATCACTAGACCTGAATGTATTTGGTGAACATCGGATACCTTTCACGATTCTGGTCCAAGTGGCACGGATGTTTTCATTTTACAGATGCTTGTATGTGTGTGTGTGACATACATGTTTAAGTCCAATCATCCTGACACCAAAGGAAACAACATTTAATAATAATACATTTTTATAGCGCCTTTCAAGGGACCCCAAGGCCGCTTTACATGCTGTGAACAAACACACAAGTAGGGCAAATAATCAAGTCAGTCTGAATGAATGAATGAATGGGATATTTAGTTAAAAAAAGCAGTGTATTTCTGCGTGTAAAATGTACCAAAATGGCAGCAAAGTGAAGGATATTCTCAGCAAATGAGCATGCACGCTGTCAACATGCTTAGATAGCATAAAGGAGATCTGCAAAGCCAGAGTGACGGGACCTTGGGACAAATCTGGAATAATGATCTTCAATCCCTGCCAATGCAGCGGCTCAGTCAAATCCCACTTAGAGCGGCGCTCCGTCAAAAACACTGAATCAATATGAAGCATTAAGCACTCTTCATCCCCTCTCTGGCTGCATTGCAACCCTGTGGTGGGGAGATGCCATTTGACAGGCTTTGGAGATTTTAATTCAGGCAGAGATTTGAATACGTTGGGTCTGCAGAAGTGATTTCCTGTCGTGGTGAAGGATGCCTTAGTGGCTGCTAATGGCGCTGTGGTTTCTCACTCTGTCTCTTCTGCTGTTAGCGAGTCCTTGGGATTGCCATTTCTCATATTTTCACCTCATCATGCTCCGTGTGGAGTTCAGTAATGTGACTGTAAAGTGGAAGTCAACAGATTCTGTGACCGTGGCTGACGGTAGACTCGGTTTCATTTCCATATTCTGTATTACGTCACTTAGATGCTTTCCATATTGATTTGTGTTTCCTGAGTGAAGAGTACACTGTGTTCCCTCTCTCCTTCCTTTCCTTGTTTCCTCTCCTCTCATTGTTTCTATATCCAAATGACTTCTCCTTTCCTTGTTTCCTTTTCTCCTCGATTTGTTTCTTCTCCTTGTTTAATCCCTATTTCCTGTTTCCTCTTCATGTGTCCTGCAGTATTTATTGTTCTGTTACCATAACTTCTCTAGTTTCTCCTCTCCTTATTCCTTCCTTTCCTTGTTTCCTCTCCTCTCATTGTTTCTATATCCAAATGACTTCTCCTTTCCTTGTTTCCTTTTCTCCTCGATTTGTTTCTTCTCCTTGTTTAATCCCTATTTCCTGTTTCCTCTTTATGTGTCCTTTATATTAGTATTTATTGTTCTGTTACCATAACTTCTCTAGTTTCTCCTCTCCTTATTCCTTCCTTTCCTTGTTTCCTCTCCTCTCATTGTTTCTATATCCAAATGACTTCTCCTTTCTCTCCTTCCTGTCCTGCAGTATTTATTGTTCTGTTACCATAAAACACAACGCCTTGTCCTCACAGTTGTTCCTCTAAGGATTTAGATGAAGGTTTTTGAGTCCCTTTTTCCCCGGGAGAGATCTCCGACATATGCTCATTTGTTTGTGCCGTCAATAAATAATTTCCTCGGCAGATGTCCCTGACAGTTTATAGTGGTTATAACCACACAGAGAGGCTGACAAACGGTGCAACATATTACACTTTCAACATTCATTCATGCACCTATAAACCACCTCTACAGATGAGGTCTCAGATTCAGGCCGTTTGGATAAACATTTTGTCTTTGAGGAGAGGCTCTTAGTCGTATTACTACAGCTCTTCTAGAAGGGTCTCCCTCCAAGAAATCTGCCATTTAGCCATTTGGAAAATACACGAGTCAATATTGCAATATTAAATTAGATTAGACACATTTTTAAAGATCCTCAAAGGGTTACGTCATGGCAGCCGGAGAAAGAAGCCTAAAAGCACGCAACAGGATAACAAGTTGAACATAATTACAGTATTTTTAGATTAGATTAGATTAGATGTACTGCTTTAATATTATCTAGTGTACAGATGAGGCAACACCCTGTACACTAGCAGCTCATAATACTGTTAGCAACCCCCCACTTTAAATGTCTGTAAAGTTCTTAACAAATCTGAGGGGAATTTCTTGTTGTTTGTTTTGAACTTGTGATGTGTCATTTTGTAAAGCACTTGTGTTGTATGAAAAGTGCTATATAAATATTATTATCATACATATATATATTTATCTGTGTGCAGGCGGAGGTGCGGACCAGTTTCGAGGAGCTTTACCGCGTCATGTCTGCGCGTGAGGAGTTTCGCTGGATGATGCTGAGGATCAAACGCATGGCCGATCCGTGGGTCAGCGCCATTCGCTCGTTGGCCAGCAAGCAGAACCTGGTCCCGCGCCGCAGGAAGAAGGTGGGCCTCCAAACACAAATAAAAATAAATCAAGGGGGCTCCAAGTCAGGAGAAAAGGGAGGAAATGACCTCCCAGGCGGTGTTTGTGATCTCGAAAAATACGCTTTTGTGAGCTTGGATGCATTGTAGGTTTAATGAAATGGTCACACATCATTAGTTTGAACTCCCAGGTGACTTTGGATTCATGTTTTCATGAGGTTTTTTGTCGCAAAATCTGAAGCACACTATCCTAGATTTCTGGAAAATAGGAAAAGTTTTTAAGGTAGAACTTCAGTCCAAAAGCATTAGTCGTATTTAAATAAGCTCCACATGCAACAAGGAGAAGAATACATAAATACAAAATAGCTTAAACTTTATTATAGCTGCTAAGTATACATCTTTGGTATCTTAGCTCTCCCTCCTTCTTCTTAATCTATTCAGCAGTCTATAATTAATTAAGTGTTTTTCCCTCCAGATAATTTCAAAGCCAGGTCTTTATTTCAGCCGCTAATCTCTTTTGGCTATTAATCCGCTCATATTAACCCTTCCCTGGTGTGCCGTGGGACTGTGGCTATAGCTGTCAACAATGAAAAATGCGCCGGTCACTTCAAACAAAGCCGGCTATTACTTCCTACTCCTGCAGAGGAACACTGTGTTCCCCTTAGCTACTAAAAGCCATTGTGTGTGTGTGTGTGTGTGTATTTTTATGTTAAGTTGCATTTGTTTTCTCAGCATGTGCACCTGACAGCGCACAGGGACAGATGGGAACTGCTTTCACAGTTTCCCTACTAAGATAAACATGTTTTTTTTAAATCAAAACCAGTTGGGTGTCATTTATTATTTCAAAGGCAGTTTTTTTTAGGCATTTTCAACTGGTTTTTTCTACATTTATCTGTGAAGGAATGGCACATTCAACACCCTTATCTCTAACTGTAACCTTAGCTTTTGTAGATAGCTTATGTTACATTAGCCTCGACTAGACCGTGTATTTCCTCTTATCAAGTATACACTATTCTTATCATGTGTTTCCATGGATTATTCCAGCAATAATCAACATGAGGACAGACTGTTTATTCTTCAGATACAGAGAAAAGGGAAGTAGAAACGCTGCGTCAAGATATATTACACCTCATGAACTAACTGTGATGACAGTTTCCTTGTTCTTAGGTCAAGATTAAAAGGTTTTATTGTCATATGCACGAAGCTACAGTGTAGAAATGGCAATGAAATTCTTCTGACCTGAGCTCCTCCAACAATGCAACATATATAATAAAATACAAAGTAGTGCACAAAGTCTATATACATGTAAATAGAATATGATATGTACATGTATAAGTATATTGCAAGATGACAACATGAAGGTTTATCAGGGCATTTCTTACGTCACACATTTTTCTTTCCCTACTTTTCCTCAGGTCCTGGTGCATTTGGGCCTGCTGACCAAGGAGTCGGGCTTCAAAATCGCCGAAAACGCGTTCAGCGGAGGCCCGTTGGGGGAGCTGGTGCAGTGGAGCGACCTGATCACCACGCTGTATCTTCTGGGACACGACGTCCGCATCTCCGCCTCTCTGGCCGAGCTCAAAGAGTCAGTACATCTGTGATATTCCTGGAGTTAACACTGCATGCAGGGGATAATCATTCCCTCATGTTGGCCCTAGACAAAGGTCCTAATACGTGACGTCAATGGAGTACTCTTTTCAACCTGAGCCAGCAATAATAATAATAATAATAATAGCGATTGTTGTAAATCCAGATGTACGTCTGCACAGCACATGCTTTAGGTCAGATATCAAACGCTCTGAGGGCACATTTACTTTAGGTGAGACACTTCAGTATCAAATAAGACTCTCATAATAAGAAAAAGAAGGCTCTATGGTCTTGGGATTGCTTTTTCTGAATGCATTGTTTAAGTGTCTATAAAGTCTATACCATTCAAGTGTCTTTCCCATCTTTATAACCAGAGGGGCAGACAAATACAAGCTTGCTGTCACGTCTTTTGGAGGGAAATCTCCCCACGTTACCAGCTGCAGAATATAAAAAGTTGAATTTAATGTCAATCTTTTCTCCCCCAGGATTATGCGCAAGGTCATGGGGAACAAGTCCAGCTGCCCGACCCAGGGTGATAAGGTGGTGGAGCTGATCTACATCGACATCGTGGGCCTCACGCAGTTTAAGAAGACACTGGGGCCGTCCTGGGTGCATTACCAGTGAGTACATCTGCAAAAATACACCTGCTTCTGACACTAAAATGTATAAAGTGTAACATTTCTGTATGAAAATGTCTAAAAAAGACTAGGCGGATACCATATATATTTTTTTATTTTGTACATTTTGACAATAAATGTACCTTTTTAGCGAATTAACCCTTAAAAAATACATATTGTGTCAATCAAACCCCGCCCTTCACCTGTTGCTCGGCAAGCTTTGTCTCTTTTCATCTCCTTCACAATGACTTTCCAGCACAACCAGTTTTCTGCAGGTGACTATTTCGCAAATCCGAGACAGTTTAATATCCTGCTCCGCAAAGCCTTTTCCATTATCTCCTAAATTAATTCAGTAATTTGTACAGATCCCTAACCTTGTGCTGCCGTTGCCAGCTGTGGTTTAAAAGCTTCCCTCACGTGTGCAAAGGGCACCGGGTTGAGTCTTGTCTGGCTCTCGCTGAGACAATGAGTCTATTTTCTGCTCAGGCATTACCGCAATGTCCCAAAAGGCCGCTGCAGCGTCTGTTGTTTGCAACGTGTCTATTCTCCTAGTCTTGATTGCTCCGCTGAGGACCAAAGACTTGCTGGTTTGTTTTGAAAAAGCTGTCATCAGCTGACAGGAAAAGCGACCGGACAATAAGTCTGGAAACCCTAATGGCCTCCGCTGATTCACCCCGTCTTGTCACCAGGTTTTGTTTGTCCGAGACATAACACCTTAAACTGCATCCGCTCCCTTGGTGCCTGGAGGAAATTGATTCAGCCTCAGCGTGATGTAACGTCCAGCTGCGGTTTCTGCATTATTTCTCCAAACCATTATTGAAAGCTTACTGTATGTCAAACGTAATGTCACTGCTTTGTAAAGGAGGATATGGATGTGTAACCTTATCAGTTTCCCAGTGTCGCCTTTCTGCCAAAGTGTCTTTTACTCTCCTGTTAGTAAGTCACATACTTTGCGTTCATGCCCTGCGAATCCCTTTATGAAGACCTTGAGAGAAAGATATCTAATGCACTGAGAAAGATAGTTTTGGTTGCTTTTCACACCCTCGCAATAGGCATCAAATGTGTCACAATTGTTCCTTTTTATCTGGTTCATTCTTTCAGTTTAGGAACAGGGCATTTAAGGCCCATTTGGGATGAATGTTTTTCGTTATTGCCCCGTTTTACAGTGCTGTTTTTAGTGAAATGAAAATTCGCCGGGCTGTTGTTTTCTGGGTATAAGCTAGAGGCAATGTGGCCTGACTGTCATTTAATCCTTTCATCCGATAACTGCATCAAGGGCTGCAGAAAATGTGCGTTCATGGTTTTGATGCAGAAATGAAACCAGACAACTTAGTCATCAACTCACTCGGGATTTGATTCACCACCACACTGGCATTTGTTCACCCAAAATGTCAGTAATTGTATTGCAGGTTACAATGATGACCGTGACAGATTCACCATTTAAAATGTTTAAGTTCATGTGATATTGAACAGAGTAAAAGCGGGAAATCTCCATATTTTCGAGTCTGCGAAAAACCACTTTCCGTCATGGTTGCCTTTAATAATTAATGTTTAATTGAATATCAAATGAGTTTGTCATTATGTTTCCCTTATGTTCCTGCTAGCTGTTGTTTTAACAAACAGAAAAGAGCTTATCAGTTTGATAGGTGCTATTTATTCTTTGACATTAAAGGATAACAACTCGGGTTAAAGTCTATCAAGTGGAACGCATTGTTAATAACCCTTAAACAATGTGGTGATTGATTTTCCTGTCAAATCTAAATTGCTTCTTTATGCACTTCAAACACAAGCTGCTAATATTGTATTTTAAGTCACCGTGAGTTAAAAAACAACAAAACTATCCTTTTATTTATTAATTCCTCTATTTTTCTTCACACGTTTTGCAGATACAATAAATAATGTAATATAATCCTGGTAAAAAAACATCTGTTCTTAAACACAGGAGAGACAGAAAATCGATCGAACTTGGATCCCTAGTATTACTTTTGACTGTAGCAGTAAAATAATCAGTAACATATTTAAGTGTGTCTTCCCTCAACTCATGGTGTCCTTGTGAGTTTCATTTTTAATAAAACCACATCATTAACTCAAATCTGTTTTCATGCAGCTTTCGGGTTTAGCCTCAGGGTCAAGCAGACAAACAAACCCTCAGGTAAATTATAAAAAAAATTCCCATCTGATATCCTGTTTTTTTTCTCATGACCCAGATACGAACGTTTTATTTATTGCCTCTCCCACCTGGGAGATAATCATAGCAGGCGAGAAAGCTATAATTTACAACAGCTATTAATCCACTTGACATCACCGAAAGGCGATTACATTATCGTTAAATTACACTTTCACACGGAGATGGCAAAAGTACACACATCCTTTACTCAAGTAGAAGTACAGATACTCGTGTTTAAACATACTCTGGTAAAAGTAGAAGTACTGACTAAACTTCTTTACTCAAGTAAAAGTAAATGTACTTCAGTAAAAAGTACCCATAACTAGCAGCTGTTTTAAAGAGTACCTGACCTCCCTTTATATTAATAGAACAATAATGTCATTGTTAGCTAATGAATGTTTCCATGCTGAACAACGGCAACATGACAACGTTTTCATTGGTCCCTCTTCTTTAGAGAAGACCAGGAAATGATGGATACACGGATCGTGTTCAAATCAATAGGCACGCAATGACTCTAAATAATAATGATCACGCCACCAAACACACATTCAAACTAAAGGAACCAGCCTGTTTGGGAAATGTGAGAAGTAGAAAGTACAGGTATTTGGGTTCAACATGTAAGAAGTAGAAAGTACAGGTATTTGTGTTCAACATGTAAGAAGTAGAAAGTACAGGTATTTGGGTTCAACATGTAAGAAGTAGAAAGTACAGGTATTTGTGTTCAACATGTAAGAAGTAGAAAGTACAGGTATTTGAGTTCAACATGTAAGAAGTAAAAAGTACAGGTATTTGTGTTCAACATGTAAGAAGTAGAAAGTACAGGTATTTGTGTTCAACATGTAAGAAGTAGAAAGTACAGGTATTTGTGTTCAACATGTAAGAAGTAGAAAGTACAGGTATTTGGGTTCAACATGTAAGAAGTAGAAAGTACAGGTATTAGTGTTCAACATGTAAGAAGTAGAAAGTACAGGTATTTGGGTTCAACATGTAAGAAGTAGAAAGTACAGGTATTAGTGTTCAACATGTAAGAAGTAGAAAGTACAGGTATTTGTGTTCAACATGTAAGAAGTAGAAAGTACAGGTATTTGTGTTCAACATGTAAGAAGTCAAAGTAAAAAGTGGTCAGATAAATAAGTAGTGGAGTAAAGTACTGATACCAGTAACGAAGTATTTGTACTCCACTACTTCCCACCTCTGCTTTCACAACATCCTCACTCTCGGTTGTGATACTACACAAATAAGTGTTACTGAGTGCACTCTTGTTGAGTTTGAGTCCCGTCACATTTTGACGCCCACTGACAACTCACCGGATCCCGAAAAGGAACTGAAAGCCTCCCTGCGGCCATATTTACATCCTTTAATGGCTCCAGCAGCCCCATCTGTTGAGGTTTCATCTACCGGGCACAGATGAGGGTTGTTTCTCTCCAGAGTGGAAGGAGATGGCATGTGGGCTTGTTGTTGTTGTTCTGCTTTTCTGTGTTAAGTTTCCCTTCTGGTGAGTCTGCTTGCTGCTCTCCCAGGGCCTCGAACAGTTCAGCTGCACGGCATCTGCCTGGGCGGAGAGACAAACGCTGAGCAGCAGAGGAAGGGAGGACTTTTAACTGCAGATGTGTGTGTGTGTGTGTGAGAGAGTGTGAGAGTGTGTGCTTGTTACACTCAAGAACATGTCATTCAAGATGGGATAGATTTAGTCATATAGTTATATACAAGTAATTGGAATATTTAAGCAATAGCTCACGACAGGCCGTGGTATATGGCCATTATATCACAGTTAAGGGGCGTGGTTCGGCCCGACGCGAAGCAGTTTGCTTTTCAGCCCAACTGTATACTGTTTTTCTCAGACGCGGAGGGACACTGACTTGTTGTGAAAAGTAACTTACAATTCTACCCGTGGTATACGCTCAGTATATCATGGCTAAGAACCAATCAGATTGCTTGATTTGACTTGTCCGTTTTATAATGATATATATAAGTTGCAAACAGATTAATGTTATGGATGTTCTTTCAAAAGTTCAGGTGTTTAAGGTGTGTGTGTGTGTCTGTCTGTCTGTCTGTCTGTCTGTGTGTCTGTCTGTCTGTCTGTCTGTCTGTCTGTCTGTCTGTCTGTCTGTCTGTCTGTCTGTCTGTCTGTCTGTCTGTCTGTCTGTCTGTCTCACTCAAGAAAATATCATGTTGTATATTCGACAGAGAGGGATAGATTTAGTAATGTGTGGCCATGCCAACAGCTATATATATATATTAGCTTTCATTTCATTCATTGGTCCTTTGTCGTCCTTATAGAAAAATACAAACAAGACGTAATCCAGCATCTAGAGAAGAAGAAGAAGTGAGCAACAACGAGGGAGTTAGTGAATGCAGAGTGTGAGATTTTAAGGTCAAGGGCTGTTCTCTGCATATATCCCATTCCCTCTGCTGGTTGTGCTCTAATTAATCCTCTGCTGTGACCTTTGAGTCGGACATGATGTTCATTCACAGCCTCTCTCCTCCACAGGATGATACTCTCTCTCTGGAGCTCTGTGTGTCCATACCTCATTGTGTTACTACTTTCAATATGAAATACAATATATATCTCCTCTACTGTAGTGTAGTGTCTCTACTTTAAAGAGTCCTCTCCTGCTGATGTTCAGGTGTATATCAGTATGTAGTGTCTCTACTTTAAAGAGTCCTCTCCTGCTGATGTTCAGGTGTATATCAGTATGTAGTGTCTCTACTTTAAAGAGTCCTCTCCTGCTGATGTTCAGGTGTATATCAGTATGTAGTGTCTCTACTTTAAAGAGTCCTCTCCTGCTGATGTTCAGGTGTATATCAGTATGTAGTGTCTCTACTTTAAAGAGTCCTCTCCTGCTGATGTTCAGGTGTATATCAGTACGTAGTGTCTCTACTTTAAAGAGTCCTCTCCTGCTGATGTTCAGGTGTATATTAGTATGTAGTGTCTCTACTTTAAAGAGTCCTCTCCTGCTGATGTTCAGGTGTATATCAGTACGTAGTGTCTCTACTTTAAAGAGTCCTCTCCTGCTGATGTTCAGGTGTATATCAGTATGTAGTGTCTCTACTTTAAAGAGTCCTCTTCTGCTGATGTTCAGGTGTATATCAGTATGTAGTGTCTCTACTTTAAAGAGTCCTCTCCTGCTGATGTTCAGGTGTATATCAGTATGTAGTGTCTCTACTTTAAAGAGTCCTCTCCTGCTGATGTTCAGGTGTATATCAGTATGTAGTGTCTCTACTTTAAAGAGTCCTCTCCTGCTGATGTTCAGGTGTATATCAGTATGTAGTGTCTCTACTTTAAAGAGTCCTCTCCTGCTGATGTTCAGGTGTATATCAGTATGTAGTGTCTCTACTTTAAAGAGTCCTCTCCTGCTGATGTTCAGGTGTATATCAGTATGTAGTGCCTCTACTTTAAAGAGTCCTCTCCTGCTGATGTTCAGGTGTATATCAGTATGTAGTGTCTCTACTTTAAAGAGTCCTCTCCTGCTGATGTTCAGGTGTATATCAGTATGTAGTGTCTCTACTTTAAAGAGTCCTCTCCTGCTGATGTTCAGGTGTATATCAGTATGTAGTGTCTCTACTTTAAAGAGTCCTCTCCTGCTGATGTTCAGGTGTATATCAGTATGTAGTGTAGAGCCCAGTCTGCTCTGATTGTTTAGCTGGCTCTGTTGTGATTGGTCAACTGCTTAAAGATGTCCCGCCCCTTAGCCTATCACGTGCAATTTGTCAGAGCGCTAGCCAACAGAAGCAGGTGTTGCGTTGTGATCTTACTATGCCATTACATTACTACTACTAAAGTTAAATATCTGCGTACGTTGTCCACCTCTAGATCTTAATGTTTAGCAGATTATAAACCGTGCTTCTTCTTGTCTTTGTGTCCCAGGTGCATGCTGCGGGTGTTGGATTCTTTCGGGACAGAACCAGAGTTTAACCACGCCCACTACGCCCAGGCCAAGGGTCACAAGACACCGTGGGGGAAGTGGAACTTGAACCCACAGCAGTTCAACACCATGTTTCGTGAGTCTACATGACGACACACACACACACACTCCCGACACAGAATATCCTGATCCGCCCAAAATACGGAAAGTACTGGACGCACGCCTTTCTATCCACTCCCTGTTTTTCTCCACTGTTGTTTTATTTAAGGTCAAGTTGCCAAACATGCAATATAAATCACTTCCATGCTCATTACAGCCTTGGCTCTCTCTCCTATGTCCTCAGTTCCAGTTTAGTTTTTTATTGCTATGAATAAAATGTTTGCGGCATAAAAGAAAATCCAGCATGCTGCTAATGGTCAGGCAGATTAAAGGAAAGTACGAGGTCTGCTCTCTTGAATTTACAGTGATTATAAATGTAGGACGATGGGGTTTTATTCCTCTGTGTGAGATCACTGTGGGGTGGATGAGTGGTGGCGGCGCAGCAGAGCTAACCCCCCGAGGTATTGACCTTTTCCCCGTGGCTAAGAGAGAGTGAAATGTTACCCTGTTGGAGAGGTAAGGCCTGGTGCTATCCAGAATGCCTCGGTACCTGAATAGCACCTTTGTCCGCTGAATAGGGTATGTCTTTCTCACAGCACACTGTTGCTTTTGCACTAAATCCAGTTAGGAGTCGCCGGGTTAGATGATATCGCGGCTGAAACAAGTGCACAGTGGTTTGGCCGAGTGTTGGTGGCATCACTTCCAGCCTCCAGAGACTTTACTTTCGCTACTTTGTGCTGCCCAACACCTTACCTGCAGGCTGGAGAGGAGCATGTGTACCAAACAGGATTACTTTCCACCTCCGAGGATCATGCAATGGATAGCTCAGATTTGCCATTGTTATCAGATTGTGCGCTAATATTAGTTGCACATTAACAACAGTGGTGTGTGTTTCTGAGCAGGTGCTTCTGTCAGATTTGATTTACAGTGGGATTTCAAGCTTAGTACACACATCCTTTACTCAAGTAGAAGTACAGATACTCGTGTTTAAAAATACTCTAAAAGTGAAGTACTGACTAAACTTCTTTACTCAAGTAAAAGTAAATATGGGCTTTGAAATGTACTTAAGTAAAAAGTACAGTACATTAAATTCTCAATTAACAATGTACAAATACCTTCACAACTAGATAATATATAATAAAGTCTTATTTACTTTCCCTGGTGTTTAAATTAGATTCTACCTCATTAACTGAACGTAGATTTAACAATAGACAAATCAGGTGCTAGTATTTAATCTATCCCAGCTTTTGATTGGTCCATTTGTTACGATTAGACCCGGCTCTATAAATCATTGGTCGGGGGAATTGGGAGTTTGTGGCCTCTAGCCAATAAGACAAGACAAGGCCAAATTGACCTCATTCATCTATTTCAGAGACGTGAGCGCAGGGGTGTTATGGGATGTACAGTTTGTGTTTCAATGGGCTGCCTTCTCAGTTAAAGTCATTTATAATCAAGAATACTTCAAATATAACAAAGATACCCTTTCCTGGGGGTCAGAAATGCCATTTAAATGTTTTTAATATGCATTTAATCAGCTGAAAAGACAACTTTTGCATCACCAATAACCTTGGTATGGGATATAATTGGACTGCAGACTTTTTAATCAAATTATTTTACGAACATGTCTATGAATAATCCCTCTGGTTTCTTTTAAACCCTTTCTGCTGTGTGTATTCTTGATGCTAAATCTCTTACAGAAATGATGATTAATACCGGTCAGAGGTCGAGCACAGCAGCAGATAGTATTTATCTTTGAGGCATTGCCAACTATGTAATTGACCCTGAAGTCTGCAGCTAGATAATGTCGCTGGCACACCAGGGCTATCTTTATTTTCCATCCGTTTGGGATCAATAGGCTGTTGTCTCTGTCGGCGTCTCCAACACACCTTGCTCACAAAGCCAAAAAGATACTTTATACAACACCTCTAATAAGAAATGTGATGTAATTCATATCATTACAATCACCCGACAGATGGACATCACATTATAATAGACATTTACTCAATGAAAAGGATAAAAAGGGCGTTTTTTATTATTGCAAATCCATGATTACAGTGTATTATACACTGTTCTTCTCGGTTTTTCTGTTGCAAAATGAACCTTTTCAGACACAAATTGATGATGAACTCATACAATATTGGACAATACATTGAAAAAGGAAAGTACATGTATTCATGGTGTCGGAAAACCAGACAGAAAGGATGCATTTGTGGAAATGCACTAATGGATCTCAAGATGCCACCCTACGTGTACTTTAAACCTCGCTATGAATCCACAGCGTTTTGTAGTGAAACGCAGGTGCAGAGAAGAACATCCGACCCTTTAACATTTACCTACGTGTGCTCCGTTATCCCAGCAGGCGGGGGGGGAAAGTGATGAAGTTATTTTGCTGTAATTGCTCTTCCTACTCTCTTGCATTTGAAACCTTGCTTTGATCGATTGCAGAGGATTATCATAAAATAATGAATGCTAGAAAAGCTGCAGAAAACACACACTATGACCATTTTTCTGATATCAACATTGAAATGAGTTTGTTATATAATAGCAATTAGTGTTTAACTAGCAAGTCACAAACCTATAATACAAGTGAGACCGATCCAGCCTCCAACACATAGATCACAACAATACGCAGCAATAATTACATACGCAGTGTGTGCAGTATTTAATCATGTGTTTCCAACATGCATTTCCCCTTCAGGCCCGAAGAGGTCTTTGATGTTGAGTTTTCAAAGTGCGAGAGACCTTCCTGCTGACGGTGCATGCTCTACAGTTTGAAATATTAAAGCAAGTGTTGGGCCAACATTAATCACATAATCCTCAGTGTGTGACTTGGGATTGCTTTTGCGTGGCGCAGGTAGCGATGTGTGATGATGTAGCGCTGATTCAGTCAGACTTTCCCTCTCATCTTGTCAAGAGGACATATCCTAACCCACATTTCTTGTACCTCCTCTCAGCTTCACCGTGTTACTCCAATATTGACTCCTGGTCTAACAGAGGGAACACACTCTTCTTCACACGGCAACTTTCAAAAGCGGCAAAGCAGCTGCTCCGCCGTTGACGCTGCAGTTTGTTAGCTAATGGCAAATGAAGCTGTGGCAAGCCGAGTGACATTTTGAGTGGCGGCTCTAGTGGGAGAGGAGGCATCTGTCGCCAAATGCATCAAGAGGGCCGAGCAGTAATTAACAGCCTGTCCTGTTTGCACAGTTTCTTTGCTTCACGAGTGTTAGCGCTGCCTGGGACCATCCCTACTCTCTGCCATCAGAATTACATCTCAGTTATTAGCAACCGTCGGAGGATTTTCCTCAAGCTACGGCTGCAACTAACGCGTGTTTTTATTAGGGATCGATCTTAATGAAAACACTAGTTTCAGTCTAAACAACAGCCCAACATTCAGAGCTAATCTGTTTTGAAATGACACACAAAAGCAGGATTTGGAAGCTGTTTTATTTAAATAGTTCTGCTTGATTGATTAACCAATTAATAATAATACACTTTATTTGTATAGCACCTTTCATGCTTGACACAGCCCAAAGTGCTTCACAGAGTATGACAACAAATCACGTAATGTAAAAGCAATAAAACATACTACTAAAAATGATAAGCCAAATAAAAAAGATTTGCTCAAAATAGCAATTGGTTTAGACTCCATAATGCCTCTCTTCTTGACACCTCACACGGATCTGGTGATATCTTCATAACTCCCACATTCCTGTCGGCGCCTACACACACGCAACACAAAGAAAACCCAACTCGGCGGGTAAAAGGTTCCTCTGTGCATCGTAACGCCGGGAAGCGCAGAACAGGAACAGGAATTGAACATTGAAATTGAAACCGGAGACGTGTAATCACATGTAAAGAAGAGATAGTGTAACACTGGCTGTCTGGCTCTGAGCCCAGAGAAAGTGTGCACACATACATCTGATTTAACGTGTCTCGACATGCACCGAGAGGAGACTTCAGAGTGTCAAATATGCAGCAACGTGTGATAAGCATCCAAAAAAAGCATTACTGAAGTGCATTTTTGTTATTATGATAACAGACTGTAAAGGACTTCTTCTGTTTTTAAATCGATAGAGGGAAAACGAGCCTGCACATTTCTGTCAATAATTGCAGCTAGGCTCATTAACTCTGCATAGCACATTTCCTGCTCTCCATTTCTTTCGTTTGCCCAAAGACATTAAAACCGTAGCCAATATGTGTTCTGCCTAGGGAGATGGAGCGAACAAACATAGGGAGAAAATGTCACATAGCAGCCCTGATAAAACCATTAACAATATCAGTAGGACTACTTTCTCACAGTAGGTGATTGTTCCTGTTGTATTTACCATGTTTAAATGTCAATTCATCATCTGTCTCTCTGCCATTACGCGTTTAACGTCATGCTACATCCCGTTAATATTACATAAGTCCAGAGGATATTTGCTGTGGGTTTATGTTTAAATAAAGGCTGCAGGATTTGGAAAATATGAGTAATTGCGGTTATCTTGACTGATATTGCAATTTCTATACGATTGATGTTACATTATACACATCAATATTGAAAAATGTTACAATTTGTGTGTTAAAATAATCTTTTTTTCAAGTCTGTATGTCAATAATTATCTGAAGCATCACAATATGTCATTCACATGTTTTTCATTCTTCAGAAATGGCACAAATTTCGATAAAATTCAGATTATTTGTTAACCCCTAGTTTGCTTTCAATGTAATAAAGACAAGGCTTGAATGCACCTCAGTGTGCAGCTGCAATCTCAATATTTCTTACCTGAAATGTTGGCAAACAACAAAAATCCTTATTTCTCTGCAGCCTTTTCCCTCTCCCTGACAGACTGACCTTAATGTGTCTCTGTAATAAATGTGGTTTTAAAAAAAAACTCACTCTGACCACATCTGTTCCCCCGCGGCTCGAGCAGAAGCCACAACACCTCGCAGCCTGTTTCCTTCACATTAAGGGCTTATTAAAGTCTGCTTGTACTACTCCTAAATTACATAATTAAGCGTATTTACATGCGCCTGATCCCTTCACTTCAAACCCTCGCCTTCACATTTGTCTTACGAGGCAGATGGCTGCAAGGCGAAAAGCTGCCAGCGCCACACTTGACCTGCTCATCTTGTTGTTCCCATAGTAACTATCACCGGCCAATAAGGAAAGGGAGGTAACAGAAACAACACTGTGCAGTTGTTCCTCTTAGAAATATGATATGTGCTTTTTAGCTTATTTATCTGGATACGCAGCCACATGTGCAAGATGTATGTGATGTTTTCGTTTCCTTGGGCCCTTTGAGAGTCTCCTTAAATGCCCGCAGTGCTGATATTTATTTAGGTGTTATATATGTGTTTTTCATTTTCTGCAGCTCACACCCCTGACAACAGTTTCCTGGGCTTCGTGGTGGAGCAGCACCTCAACGCCAGCGACATCCGGCACATCGACGACGTCAAAAGACACAACCAGTCGCTGGTTTACGGCAAAGTGGACAACTTCTGGAAGGTATTTAAATCTTTATTACAGGTCACCTATTCATGCAAAATCCACTTTTTCCTGTCTCTTCTACATCAACATGTGTGTCCTCTTCTTCATGTCTCTTCTACATCACCATGTGTCCCCTCTTCTTCATGTCTCTTCTACATCACCATGTGTTCCCTCTTCTTCATGTCTCTTCTACATCAACATGTGTCCCCTCTTCTCCATGTCTCTTCTACATCAACATGTGTCCCCTCTTCTTCATGTCTCTTCTACATCAACATGTGTCCCCTCTTCTTCATGTCTCTTCTACATCAACATGTGTCCCCTCTTCTTCATGTCTCTTCTACATCACCATGTGTCCCCTCTTCTTCATGTCTCTTCTACATCACCATGTGTTCCCTCTTCTTCATGTCTCTTCTACATCAACATGTGTCCCCTCTTCTTCATGTCTCTTCTACATCAACATGTGTCCCCTCTTCTTCATGTCTCTTCTACATCAACATGTGTCCCCTCTTCTTCATGTCTCTTCTACATCAACATGTGTCCCCTCTTCTTCATGTCTCTTCTACATCACCATGTCTCCCCTCTTCTTCATGTCTCTTCTACATCAACATGTGTCCCCTCTTCTTCATGTCTCTTCTACATCAACATGTGTTCCCTCTTCTTCATGTCTCTTCTACATCAACATGTGTCCCCTCTTCTTCATGTCTCTTCTACATCAACATGTGTCCCCTCTTCTTCATGTCTCTTCTACATCAACATGTGTCCCCTCTTCTTCATGTCTCTTCTACATCAACATGTGTCCCCTCTTCTTCATGTCTCTTCTACATCACCATGTCTCCCCTCTTCTTCATGTCTCTTCTACATCAACATGTGTCCCCTCTTCTTCATGTCTCTTCTACATCAACATGTGTCCCCTCTTCTTCATGTCTCTTCTACATCAACATGTGTCCCCTCTTCTTCATGTCTCTTCTTCATCAACATGTGTCCCCTCTTCTCCATGTCTCTTCTACATCAACACGTGTCCCCTCTTCTTCATGTCTCTTCTACATCAACATGTGTCCCCTCTTCTTCATGTCTCTTCTACATCAACATGTGTCCCCCTCTTCTTCATGTCTCTTCTACATCACCATGTGTCCCCTCTTCTTCATGTCTCTTCTACATCAACATGTGTCCCCTCTTCTTCATGTCTCTTCTACATCAACATGTGTCCCCTCTTCTTCATGTCTCTTCTACATCAACATGTGTCCCCTCTTCTTCATGTCTCTTCTACATCAACATGTGTCCCCTCTTCTTCATGTCTCTTCTACATCAACATGTGTCCCCTCTTCTTCATGTCTCTTCTACATCAACATGTGTCCTCTCTTCTTCATGTCTCTTCTACATCAACATGTGTCCCCTCTTCTTCATGTCTCTTCTACATCAACATGTGTCCCCTCTTCTTCATGTCTCTTCTACATCAACATGTGTCCCCTCTTCTTCATGTCTCTTCTACATCAACATGTGTCCCCTCTGTGTAGAGAGACTCTGAAAGTTTCAGGAACAAAGATTCTCTCTCTTTTTGTCCTGATCCATTTCTATAAAAACCTGTCTGAAAATGAGCTGATCAGATTTTGGCCACTTTATGATGTCATAACGATGTTTTGGCTTGGTAACCATTAGCCAATCAGCAACCAAGGTAACCCCCGCCCCCCCCACCTTATCACCTGAATCTCCTCCTAGAGCACCATTGTGTTCTTTGTAACCAAATGTCTCTCAGAGGGGCGTGGGGAGGGGCTCCTTATTTTTATCTAAAGTAACAGAATCAGCACTTTGGAAACAGGGCTGAAACAGAGGGGATTATGGGTAATGCTGCAATGACCTGTTTGGTGTTTCAGCCAATCAGAGACATGTTCTGGATATATCTGAGACCTGTGATATATTGATGAGAAACAGTATAATAGGGCACCTTTACATTTGCACACATGCACAAGACGTTGTTTTGTCAGAGTGGGGAAGTGAGATATTATCACGGCTCTGATACACACTTTTTTAAATCCACAAAACCCCCTGATATACAGAAGTGTGTGTGTGTGTGTGTGTGTGTGTATAGGCGTGTTTTCCTCCTGAAGATGAAAGGGACAGGAATAGGAATAACCCGCTCTAGACCTCTGAGACTCTGCAGTGAAACTCTTTGAACAACCTTGGGTAAAAGTTTCAGAGGAAAGTTAATAACAGTCTGGATTCGGAGCTCAAATTCCTCTAATCGCCTTCTCCGTGAAGTTTTTTAATATATTCAAATACATGCTCACACTGCGGCACAGAGACCGAGGGATTACTGTATCCTAGACAAAAAGGACTTAGAGACTTGGAGAGATTTGCACATTGTTTGGCATGCCATGGATGTTTGGATTACTGCCGGAGCTTTGATGAGCTTTCATTCGACACCATGTATGTTTCTGAGTGGGTCGCTCCACATCCAATAATAGAGGCTACAGGAGAGAAGTGTCTTCATGTAACATGCCTGTAGTGCAAAGGCCTTCTCACATCAGAGATAAAGCAGTGTGGAATTATATAATAAAGCCAACATAACTGACTTATTATCTGCATATACTGTTTGCTCCACTTTCTTCCACTTCCTATCTAAGTTGTTACATCAGAGATACAGGGTCCCTCCCTTTCACAGGGTTAGACTGTTTTCTGCACCAGTCATCTTGCAATTAAGTTTAATCCTTAATCAAATGTAGGTTAAAGGGTCCTTTTATGTTATGGTTAATGTCTGTTCCCTTGTTTGTTGTCCCTTGTTGATGTTAGCTGCAGTGTATCAAGAACATGTTGAACTAACATTGTATTGTATTGTACTCCAATGCACATATGTCTATACAGGTGGCTAGTGTAAAAACATATATTTCCTGGACCAGTTTGGTCAAAACCCCAACTTGAAAGTCCTTTAAAGAGGGCTATTAAGCTTTTTGGAGTTGTCCCTTTCCTGTAGTGGACATTAATGCATGTTAACATGTCACAAAACACAAATCTGAACCTGTGAATGAGCATAATACGGCCCCTTTAAGTGATCAGAATCAGTCATTTTAAGCTCTTTATTCACAATATGTAACCCTTTTAGGATGTCGATCCTAAAAAAAATAGAGTTGAAATTTGTCCTGAGCAAATCATGAATGCATAATCCAACAAGGAAGTGAAATTGGAAAACTTTAACAGCATAGTCCAAACTTCAAATCTAATCTGAGACATTCATTAACAACACTTCTAGTGAGGCTTTTCCCCAAGGCCTTATCCTTTTTTAATACAGATGCTGCTGTGCTTTATAGCTTTGAGCACGGAGTCTTTTTTACTCAGCAGTGTTTCTTTTAAAGGGCATACAGGGGGGGGGGGGCCCCCAATCAACTCACAGCAGGGGGCATTAGTTCCCAATCAGACTCCCCTGCGTCTTCATTACCGCCTGCTTTTAATTAAAGGGCCATTTTGGAGCCGACTGATAACGAGCGCACTCCATTTCCTCTTACGTCGTCCCTCTCTCTACAGGTTGGAGGACTCACTGACTAACACTCAGTCAGCTGTGTAGCTATTGAATTAAACCCCCAGTTTGTACCCGATAAAACTCTGGCAAAGTTCTGTGTTTTCACATTTCAAATCCTCTTTCTCTGGAAGTCAAGGGAGGGGATTGTGATGCACTCCAGATGCTTTTTAGTGCACAAATGTTTCTGATTTCTGTGAGCAATAACTTCGGTATCTGTCTTTCGACTAATCTATGTAGAGTGTTTGTACAAAACAGCTTTATGAGCTTTCATATAAATATATTTTGGTTGAACAAAGCCAGGGATTGAAACTCAAACATTGTATTATCAGAGAAAGTTGCGACCCATCTGCGTTTCTGATCCAAATGCCCAAATATTGGATTTAATGTTATGTGTAGTCGTAAAGAAACTTGGTGTGTTCAGTACAATATGTCTGCTGATCAGAGGTGGGAAGTAACTAAGTAGATGTACTCAAGTACTGTTCTTAAGTACAATTTTGAAAGGTACATGGTGTACTTTTACTCCACTACATGTATTGAATACCTTTAGTTACTTCACAGATGTGGATGAATGATGTGAAATCTAATCAAGTGTTAAATCAGACTTTAGTTCCACCTGGAGTAAATCCACAAGCTACCCTGCAGTATACAAAGTCATTCAAACTAGCTGCACCTTTACCAGCTTTGAGAACACTTTCATGATCAATCATTATAAAACATATCATATATATTATTCTGAAATGGACCAATCTGCACAATGATTACTTTTACTGTCGCTACTTTCACTATATTTTGATGAGAATACTTTTCTACTTTTACTTGAGGAACATTTTGAATGTAGGACTTTTACTGTAACAGAGTATTCCTACACTCTGGTACTTCTACTTTTACTTAAGTACAAGATCTGAGTACTTCTACTTTTACTCAAGTACAAGATCTGAGTACTTCTACTTTTACTAAAGTACAAGATCTGAGTCCTTCTACTTTTACTCAAGTACAAGATCTGACTACTTCTACTTTTACTCAAGTACAAGATCTGACTACTTCTACTTTTACTGAAGTACAAGATCTGACTACTTCTCCACCTCTGCTGCTGATGCTAACCTCCTCATTTGGACAGTAGTGTCAGCAGAATCAAAATGAATGCCTCCTTAAGGTCAGTGTAGCTGGGCTAATTAACAGCGTGCAGATATGTGGGATGCTCAGGGGAGACTGTGCCTGCTGCAGGGCTGAACTTGTTGATATGTCTCCTCTTGCCTCTGTGGTAATAGAGGTGAGAGTGTGATTAGCACCGGGATCATCTGCAGTGCATCAATTTGTAGAGAGTGATTCCTCCCTGTAACCTGCTGCAGGATCACGAGCATGTGAAACACTTCCTGGGGATTAAAGAAACCAGGATTGTGGAAGAAATACATAGCCAGACCCCCCCCCCCCCCCCCCCCCCCCCCCCTGAGGGAGCTGTTTCATAGCAACACAGTAAGAGGAGTAGAAAGGCAGATCTTTTATCAAT